ACATCTAACTTCTTTACACTGACAGAATGGGGAGTTTCACTTGTCTGTATGTGGCCTGCCATGTAAAATGATTTTGACACCTCTGGTCTAATACACAGATTGCAAACACATACTAAAAATGTATTTAACAATAAGAAGAATATGAATATGAAAAAACAATGGTAAGGAGGTCTGTGTACAGAAATGGTTAGGATTCCTAAACAGTTCTTGTAATAGGCTTTTGTTAAACCCACAAACTCAAACTGAACGTCTGCACTTCAATCACATCTTGCTTGGTTGATTTAAATTCCACTGCCATGGTGGACAAAAGCAAAATTACAGAAACTGTATCACTGTCCATATATTGCAAACTGGAGCTTATCTAAGGAGGCAGAGTACCCCCTCAACACATCTATGGCCAATTTAGAATCATCAATTAGTCCAACTATGCATGTCTTTGGACTGTGAAAAGAAGCAGCAACGGGCAAAAGACAACTCGCACAAACTTCACAGGAAAAGCTCAGCCTGTACTGCTATGAGGCAGAAGTGCTAATCACCACAAAGAGTTTAAATTCCCAAAAAACCTCTTTAAAAAACAGGTCTGGGTAGTGTTCATTTTCCTATCCAGGTAATCACCAGGAGATTTATATTCTTCCCTCAACCCTGTCACGATTTGTTTAATTGTCATGTCTCAATATAACTTGTCTTTTGGGTATCAATTTACTCTTTTTTTTAAATTTTAGGTTTTGTTTTGTGTCAGAAAGTAAAATAGATTCTGATACGAAACTAACTCTCTCTCTTCCTTTTCCTCCTTCTTGGCTGCCTGCTCGGCTGCCGTACAATTTCCTGTTGTATTCGTGATTCAAGTCCCTGCGGTAAACCATCTAGATTTCTTTCTTCTTTATTTTCCAGATGTCTTTTTAAATGCTTTAAACATTTACTTTAACTGTTAAAATCTCACCAGCTCTTTGCTCTGAACCTGCTTCTGCTCCCTCTCTTCACACGACATTTTGTTTCACACCTATTGGAGTACATCCCCAAAAGTTTTCCCAAACGTGTGCACACTGTAAATATGTACAGCCTTTCAGATCATTTTAAAACGTCGTCCAGAGTATGTTTATTTAGAAACTTCACAACGCTGTGTTGAGACTTCTCAAACAAAAAGCTTTTGGAAACAATGTGATTTAACTCGCTGTCATAAATCCTAATGTGGCCCTGGAGAGGAGTGATCATTTTAAGGGATTTATTTTAAGATTTAATTAAACACAGCAGTGGAAAATGTCCAGTACAAGCACAGCTACAAACACCTTTTTCAATTATATAAATAAATAAATAAACAAACCCATCTACTTGTTCTACTAGGGATTAAGTTAGGAAACAAGAGGACACACAGATGTTCCCAGGTGTCACCATAAACCTTACTACCCTGAAGTAAGGTACCCTAGTCCTTCTGCCCTGAAGATGACAGAAGGACTAGGGTTTAAAATCGATAGGACAGTATATTTTTAAAAAACAAAAATACAAACAAACCCTGAAGAACAAAAAATTTAAAAAAAATAAAATTAAAAGGTAATTTTTTTTTTAAATGAAATTCAATAAAAGTACAAACACTTAAATGGATAATAATCTGCACTTGACTGGAATTTCAAAAGAAAAACAAAGAACAATTCGAATCAGTCACAGCATGAATATGCCTTCTCTTATACACAAACACACATGTCGAGTAATTACCAAACATTCAAGTACCCCACAGCTCAAGCAGCTACAGGTTTAGGATTCCTGATGAAGTACTGTACAAATAAAATCAAGCAATATCTCATCTGGTACTTTGTTGTTTATTTTTTCCTGCTCTTTTTTTTTAGGTTGTTTTGTTTTTTACTTCAAAGGGAAACCGCCACATCCAAGTTATCACGGAATCATCTGTCGTGACTCACAGACCAGAAGAGAACGTTTGAATTTTCATGTAACACACCAGCACCTACTACAGCAAGTGCAAACAAGTCAGAAGTGACAAAATCACAAACCATACCTTTCTGATACTTTTAGTGCACATGCATACCTTGGAGGATTGCACTGAATCACCCTCCAAGGCCTATCACACCAGATGCATGTCGCATTTCATTTGTTACCCAAGGAATTCACGCTATTCTGAGTAATGTCGACTCCCCGGGGACCTTGGAATTCCCATACACTACACTCTAACTGAGATAATCACTTTCAGGGTGAAATGGGCATGCGAGTATTATTCTAAGCCTTGGCTTGTAGGGTCAGGTTAGCCATGGATTTGTGTTCAGTTCAGGGTAGGCGTTGAAGCGTGAACCGATGTCAGGTCTGTTGGATAACAGCGACCTCTGCTGGCAACGGATTGCAGTTACAGACAGGCGTTGTAAATTCATGTCACGCAAACTATCGTGCGTTCTCAGAAACTTTAAACAACATGACGCACATGTGAAAAGCTACATTTCGAACATTTGCTTTCACTTCTAAGAATTTCCTTAATCGGAATTTGTGTTTGTTTTCCAATAATTTCCTTCCTGAAGTCTTCCTGTGAGAAGAAGGACAGGAAAACTTGGGAGCCGAGGTCCTGAATGAAGATTTATTCTTATCAGAACAGAACAGAAACCAAAAACATGTTTGTCAGTCACCATATCTGTAACCTCAGACACCAATGCAGCACCAGCTTAGTGCTGTGATACCGTAAGTGTTTCTTAACATAGGCCTAAAGTAAAGCCTATCAGTGATGCTTAGCTGTAAGTCCTCTATAACACCACTTGACACATTTCTACAACTTGATGAGGAGTGACTCAGAAAAGAACCCAGACATAAACAAAATGTGAGTGCATGCAGATGGTTTACCAAAGGACAAACCTAGTTGTTAGATCAGGGATTATGTAAATTCTGTCTTAAGCTACAGATTTAGTAAGCTTCATTATAATTATAGTAGTCTAAGACAGACAGAACAACATATGAACCATAAACAGCGGAAAGTACCATCTCCTTCTACAGTGTTAAATATTTGTGTAGACTCTGCAGATCAAAACAGTTAAAACCACATGGCTGTAAATCAGAGCCCACAACAACATAGTGTGTCAGTGGCTGAAAGAGCGTGTTTTCCTAGAATGAAACTGCAACAACAGGGTTTGGTCAACAGAGTGTGGCCAAAAGACTGAGACCACCACTGTGAGAGCCAAGTTCAGAATCAAGTGTTACACCATAATGGATAATGGATGCTGTGTTATCTCATATTTGGAGACAGGGTGAGAGAAGCATAAACAACACAAGGTTTCCATGGAGTTTCTGGACTTCAATTAGTTAATCTGAAAGAAAATCTTACAGCCGTATCGTATCAGACTCCACCCAAATTCCTTTCCATTTCTTGTTTTTGTCTATGCACATACACTGTAGTGCCCCCCCCCCCAAAAAAAAATCTCTTTACATAAGCAGGATGTACTCTGTGCAGTCATTAAGAACGCTGAGACTAGATCTAGGTAAAAGACAGCTTAAGCTCAAGATCCTTGCTTTGTCATCTGCCCTCTTGTCATGCTGAAAGTTATTTACTGAGTACTCTGACTGATGAAAACACAGCGTGCTAAGATTAAATAATAATATCTTACCTAATAGGATGACTCCTTGTGAACAGTAAATTGTCACACTCTTTTTTTATGATGAAGAAATCATTACAAGACATTAGCAAGTTTTCTTATCTCTTTAAATATTTTGTGAATAATGAAATAAATAATACTTTTCATGTAAATACATTTTTTTAACATTCAGGATTAAATAATTTAACGCTGTACCAAAATACATGTGTGTAAGGCAACATGATGACACAAGCTATAAAGAGACATTATGTTAAATTCATAGAATTAAAGCAACACAAGGCACAGCTTACTACATTCTGGTGTAAATAAAGTTTTAAGTGGTTTATTAGCTACATTATTGCTCTATAACACTCTTTATCAAGGGACTAAAGCAATAATTCAGGTAAGGAATCTGACTCCATCTCAGGCTACTGAGGCCAACTCTGCGTTCTTTAGAGGTTTGCTCTACAAGGTGATTGTAATAATTCATTTTAACAATATTATGTGCACCATTTTATTTGTATTATAGTATAGGTCATGAAAAAAAAGAAAAAAAGAAAAGTGCTATCAGTGCTATAATACTGTCAAACTGAAGGGACACAAAATGTGTACAAAAATAAGATTTTTTTTTCTTATGGAGGTACTCCATCTTGAACATCCTTTCCAGTATAATAATACGCCTCCTCTGCACTTCCCCAAACCGTTGACTCATTTCTAATCCCAACAAAACAAAATCTCTACCACCTCCAGCTCGGCCTCCTGTCTTTTTTGTCACTGCCGCCGTCTTCAAACCGCACATCATAACAGGTCTCACTGCCATCTTGTAAACCTTCCCTTTCACTCTTGCTGTTATCCTTCTGTCACAAATCACCCCGACAATCGTTTCCATCCACTCCACACTACCTGCACTTGCTTCTTCTCCTCTTTTATGCATTATCCCTGCTGTGGATGAGCAATGCCAACTCATCCACCTTCACTATCCCTATTCTGCGCAGCGTCAGGAAAACACATACTCACTGAAATTGGGTACGTGTTAGAAATGATAACACTACAAATAGGCCAACTTTTTGCATGTTTTAGAGTATTTTTGACATAAATGCTTTTAAATACTGAGAGAAGCCATTTCCCAATATGCAAAGCCAAATATTTTCATTGTGCATTTTTAAGATACCTTTCTGAGCACTGAGACGGCTAGGCAAAAAGAAGGTGGAGACACATTTCTAAATTATCTGGTCAGCAGTGCAATGTCAAAACAGATCATTTACATTTTTTTGGTTCTATATGGACCAAAGTGGAACGAGCTCTCTTCCCTTCAGTTTGTATAAGACTTACAATTAAGCAGACTTACTGTTTAAATATTGTCTGTGGCCCTTTGACTGGAAGCTTTCCTACTTACACTCATAGTTTAATAGTGTTGTTGACTTGAGATATACATTCATGTATAGAGGAATTACCTCTGATTACTTTCTGTGCCTTCCATTTCCTTGATTGTGTTAAAAGGAAGAAAGGTACTCAGCTAAAGTGTTTTATGTAAGATGCTGCGATGTTTTCAATCACCATTAGAGACCATTCAAGCTGTGCACTGCTGACCGGTTGTACTGCTTTCTTTTGTCTTTCCCCTTCCTGTTCAAGCCCCTCTTTGAAACAAACTTTTTTCACAGCAGAAATGTTTCTGTGTTAGGTTCCGCTAAAGGCTTGACATGGATTTCCGTTAGTGCTGCATGAGTACAGAGGGCCTGACATTTTGACACTGCAAATTAAAAGTAGTGAGTAACAGAGAGTCAGTTCAAAAAGAAGTTATTGCTACAAGCAGCGTGATCCATGTCATCTCTGGAATAAGAGCTGATGCAGCGTTCCAGTTGTCAGGTGTATTGCTTTTTGAGCACCTTTTTGGTTCTTGGTTCTCTATGAGCTCGTATGTTCCCACCACTTTGATGTAGTCTTTCTCTTCTGAAATACATCTGTACGTGCCATACTTCTCCTGTGACATGGAAGGAATGAGGTGCAGACAGTTGGTAAGCATCTGCAAACAAGGACTCTTTTGACCTTTTTGCTCCCATGTATACTCAGCGTGGTAGGAGTCTATAGGACAGGACAGATAGAAAGGCGCACCCTGGGGGACTGAATGAACTGTCCTCAAATGCACTGATGATAGTGGAGGTATCTCACGTTTGGTCCGGTTTCTTAGCTCTTGGAAAAAAGAAAGAAAGGGGGGGGGAAAAAAAAGGGGAAAGCGAGCGATCAGAGAGATCAGACTAAATTTGTTCCTGGAATCTACAGCAAGATGAATAAATGTCTCATCATTAGCTACCTTTAACTGTTAAACTGCATACGTTTGTTTTCCCATCCACGATATTCTGAATGCTCCCGCTGCAAAGACGAATAAAACACGTTTCAGTGAGTGATGTTTCTGCAAGATTTTTTGCTCTTTGATTATCTGTCAATTCAATTCTGATAAAGAATATGCAAAGGATTCATTTCTACAGCTGTTTCATGTATTGTGCAAAACATAATAATAAAATGTGCCAGAGGGTCTTGGTAAGACTGCTGCTCGCACTTACGGGACAGTCGAGGTGCATCCATCGTTAGTCCAGGCACAGTATGGATCCCGGGCCAGAACACATTCTTCGCAAGACTTGCTGTACTCCTGACAACTCTGAAGGTTCACTGCAGTTATTCTCTCAGCAGACCCCACAATTAATGTTTTCTGAGCAAAGGAAGACAAAAATCTAAATTTACTTTAAACCTGGATGAAAAGATTTTATTTTTGGTGAAATTGTAGACTCTATAGCCTGCTTATTGATAGACTTGGCTTTTCCTGGCGCTAGACAACTAATGCACACGAGGTGTTTGTCAGCTGAAAATAGCTGCATGTGAAGCACAAAAGCAATGACCCGACAGATAAAATGCGACGCTCTGCAAAAAGAAATAGCAACATCGTGTTTCACTGAAGGTGGGCGCTGACAGCAGCTGAGAGAAACACTGATGCCAGAACGGCAAAGCACAGTGCTCTGCACTTAGTATGGCATTTTAAATGAACCCTACCTTTTTAGAGTCAAGCTTCATTGACTGTATGATTGAAGAGTTGGAGAGCTGCGTTTCAGATATGATAAAAGGTTCTGACCCAGACTCCAAGACTTTATGGATCTTCCCGGAATCTGTTGGAACAGGAATTTGATATTGCGTTATTTTTTGCAAGTGACATATCTGGCTAGGTATTTTTAGCTTATTGTTCCTAACAGATATTACAGACAATGCATTCTTAAAATGTAAGACAATTGAAAGGCAGCGAAGGCGCTAATGACAAAACAAGATCCCAAGGACCCTGTGCTGTTGAACAATGACATACCAGTAGCTAGAAGCAGAATGTTATAAAATCTTTGGTCTGCAGCCTGAACTCTGTCCACGACTATCTTGGTGTAGTTGTTGGTGCTTATATAAAAAGGATCTGAGTCAACCCAGTCGGCCATTTCTGAGTGATCCTTCACAATATTGACTGTGTCACGTGGCAAAGACTTGCTGTTCGTGGAACACTGAAAAATAAATGCAAAAATAGTCTGTATACTGGATGAAAGGCAAAAAAAAAAAAATAGTCAGAATTGTCCAAAAACAAAGCACAGACAAACTTTTCCACATCATAAATTACAGGGGTGGTTTTATTTACAAAATATAGCAACATGAACAGAGAAAGGACCGCGATCGGTGTCAGCCCCTTTTTGAAACTTGCATTATGGTTGTGCCACAATGAGGGGAAACTGCAAATACAAAGGGCCTTCATTTGTTCCATTTAATCTCAGTGGATGTCAAATATATAAACACAGTCTCTATGATGGAAACAATGAATGTGATGAAACAGTCCATGCACACAGCTGTTTCCATGTCTTTTTTTTTTTTTTTTAAACAAGACATTGACTTAGTAGATAAGCAGGCCTCATGTCTTGCAATTTTTTAAACCACAGGTCGTACTCATGCACATGATATAGAATAAACTGCTTAGACTGCATGTGAGCCAAACGAAAATAGAAATGTAAAAATAAAAGAATTAGAGGAAGTTGTCTGTAAATTCTGTTTCTGTAAAGTAACATAGCAACATAATAAAGTTCTTACCGTTCCTGGCCTTGGCGTGGGAACGTTGTCGTTGTAGCCCTTGAATTTGGAGTTCTCAAATATATTTTCAATCATTTTTATTGTATAGATGCAGACTGCTGTAGAATTCCTAGAGGAGATATAAGAAAGAAAGATTGCCAGAGCGTTCATCATAGGTTTAAATCATCTGTAAATTTGTTATTGCCTCAGCTCATGGGAGTGGAAGAAGGGCAACACCCTTGAAAATGAGGACAAACAGTTGACCAACAGTCTAACATCATGTGTTTTTGGAGCTACAGTCCTAGGATACAAGGAATGGAAAGTCATGTTGCTAAAGCAATACTGCCCATCTTAATGTTTTGCTTTTGATTGTGGTGTCACTCTCATGTTTACATGTTGCTTAGATATTAAAAATGAAGCATCTAACCAGTTGCTCGTGAAGAGGGCATAGACCCTGGTGTCTTGCCAGTTGTCTGCGTGCATCACATAAACATCTTGGAGGCGGTTAAAATACAGCGACTCCTTTGGAATTCCACACACAAGACGAGCCTTGAGAAAAGATGTCCACATGTTCTGGAAGAATCGTTTTGATCCACCTTCATCCACCTGAAATATGATACCGACAGGAGGAAACTCATTAATCCTGCTTCGGCTGAAGGTTATTCGATGCAGATGCCATTACATTGAGCTGCATAAGAAATGTGAAACGAGAACACCTGAACACTTTTAGGACAAGTCTCGTTTTGCACAGATGTCAAGCGAGGATGCCGAAAACAACATTTTAGCAAAATGAAAGCTTTTCGGGCTGGTTCATGTAAAGTAGATGAAGTCCAATTTTTTGGTATTGGTGGTGGGTCAAAGGTTTGTTTGCTTTTGCTTGGTTGTGCAAATCAATATTTTCTTGTGATGGTTTTAAACTAACATGACTAATGCAACATCCTGATATAAGAGGAAATACTGGGTGAGCATAACTACTGCTTCCATAAAAACATAAAGCCTAACATCAACATCAAGCACCTCTAATCTGACAGACTTTAGTATCTTGTTTCTTCTTTATGGAAAATTATGCAGATTATTACGGTAAAAGAAACATGGCAAACCATCACAAAGTAATATTAGAATTATTCACAATCACTGCCTTTAATTTAGATTCAGTACAGCAGACAGTGGTAACATAAAATAAGATATCAAGTGGATATTACATTTAAGTATCGACTTGTTTCAAGTTGTTCTCTTTTCATTCATCACTAAAGTTGCAAGACATGAAGCTGAGTTTTTAAGCTCATCTCACAGGTTTTGTGTTTTTTAGCCGTGTCATTTTAGGCAACTGTACTGTTGATGTGTCAAAAAGTATTTGTTCAACCTCAGACTGAACTGACTGACTCAACCTTTCCTGCGCTGTGCTATTACCACACCCTCTCAAACATACTGAGCCAATAATGCCTCTCCTTTATTTTAATGGGCATGATCACATTTTGCCATTCATTATGAATATTGTTGTTCTAAAGTTTACAACATTATTACAACATTTTCCAACTGTGTGGCAAGTGAACTGAAACTGAAACCCACTTCAAATTTGCTTCAAGTACTTTGGTGTTGGACATACTCTGTCAATGGCCAAGCCTTGTACTCATGCCAAACGCATTCGCAAAACTTTATCCAGTTGTAGATCAAATTAGACTGAATGCCAAGTTCAAAGGTGGGTGTGGTCCATCCTATGAGGACTGGGCACAAAGGGTCCCAGAATGAGCGGGCACAATCCACCTTCCAAAATGCTTGAAAAAGGTTTGCTTATGTAGTCACAGCAAGACTTTTGATTGTTCCTAATTCTTGAAAGTGAGATGAAGATGTTTTAGAGAATTTATCTGTACGCAAAGTTGAGTTTCATTGATGTTAGCTCAACTTTTTTCACCATACCTTACAAACTCTGGCAACCCTAGATATCAGTGGGTCAGCCTCTCGGTTGTGGTCTGAGTTCTTCTCACGGAAAAAGACATAAATTTTCTCATTGTCTGGGTCGTCCTTCCGCTGCACCCATGATGCAGAGACGAACGTGGGCTCTGTGAAAACATGATAAAAATTTAAAAAAAAAAAAAAAAAAAGTGTTTACAGTGTGGCATGAACTGAAAAAAGAAAAAGAAAAAAAAAACAAAAAAAAACAAAAACAGAAAGCCTGCCACATCAAACTTGAACCAAAGCATAATTACCCTACAATGAGGTGAGGACAAAGACAAACTTTTAAGTCAAACATATTCTGATTATACGACACCAATGTATTAAATTACAGTAGTTTTCCATCCATCCATCCATTCGCTTCCGCTTATCCTTTTCAGGGTCGCGGGGGGCGCTGGAGCCTATCCCAGCTGTCATAGAGCGAGAGGCAGGGTACACCCTGGACAGGTCGCCAGTCTGTCGCAGGGCTAACACACAGGGACAGACAACCATTCACACTCACATTCATTCGCACATTCACACCTAGTGACAATTTGGATTATCCTCTATTATAAAATAAGAGCAGGTATTTATTTACCTGAGACCCAGCTGTCATACATCCAGACATTAGTCCTGCGGCCAGCTTGTCTTCTGAACTGCAATGTACTTCCATCAGCATCCAAAGGTGCTGCTGCATACAGATCCCCTTCTAAAAATAGCCAATACACCAAATTGAAAGGGGCAAAAATGTTGAATAATCAGTTACATTAATCTGCACACTGATAATTAAAACCTTGAAAACATGATAACTACAAAAGCGGCGTGTAACATACCTACTGTGAGCGATAGGGAGTTCTGTGTGTAGATAAATGGAGCGATTCCTGTCCCGTCACGACTATCGAATATTTCAAGAGACCGATTGTTCACTGAAGGGCGCTGCAGGGTCACAGAGAGTCAACAGAACACAGTGACATTACTTCAAGAGAACTGTGACGGGAAACCACAAAACACCAGACACCCAGCACCTTCATTAAATTATAGATGAGGGCACCCAATTAAAGTTTAACAAGAAGCACCAGAGCTCCACTCCTTAATTGTCTCTTCTCTGGTGTTTATTGTAACTAGTTTAGTTTCCATTAACTTGTCACAGAAGTGCAGAAAGTCACACACTTTTAGTCTACGGTTTAACACATTTAACACTTTTTAGAATCACTCACAAGTTGCCAGCACTCTGGTTTCTGTCCGTTCGTCCCGCAGACAAACAGGTTGTTCTGAAACTTCTCAATGACAGTGATAACATTTTCACAGGGGTCCTATGACACAGAGAGAACTTTGTTATGCAAACATTTTCACAATGCATTTATTAGCACATCTCTGATCATTCTGTAATCACTGACCTCTTGGCATTCCTCTTGCCCCGTTGCATTCAGATGAAATTTCTGTCAACACATTGATTGTAGACAGATTATCCATAACTTTAGCAACATTTCAAAAACATAAGAAGCATCTGAAACAATCACTAAGAAACTAATTACCGCACTGTCTACTGAAATAGCTGTCTGATAGATTAATAAAAGGATAGACTAAAACCAGTTCCCTTAATTCAAATGTCTTCTTGATTCCCTTCAGCTCCTCTTCCCACAGCACGACATCCATTAGTGATATCAATGATAAGACCCATTTCTTCTCTTATGGTCAAGAATCATTTACTTATTAAAAATTTAACATTAAGATAAAAAAAAAAAGTCATACTGAAATTTCTGGTTTATTACATATTCTATTTTTAATGAATCTGTCTGTGCCATGAGCTCAGCACCTGGACCTCTTAATGAGCACTTTGAGGCTACAGTACAAGGTCTTGTATGGCAGACAGACGCTTATTAGGACTGTCACAACCATCTGTTGGGTTTAATGGCTCTAGCTGTAAAACTACAGCAGCTCTACTGCTTAACCCTACAGGAATTGAGGGGAAAAAAGAAACACCACCAACAACATAATAAGAAAACATAAATAAAGACCATCGTTAGTTTACAACATGTTGCTCCAACCCACCTCTATGACGTGGAAGTCGTCCACATTGAGTTTCAATATAAAATCATTGCCTCCCAGGTACAGTTCATCTGAGCCCTCCTCATAGAACAACACACTGTGGTTCTGATTAATTTGGTATTCAAGCCCAACGCTCAGAATATCTGCAGGGTGAAAAAGCATCTCATAATAATGCTTTAATCAGGAATTACCACATTCTGCACTTACATCAAAACATGAGAAGATGAATCGGATTTGTCCTTGCAGTGTTTTTGACTAAAGTGAATAGGAAACAAACACCACAGCTTTCGTAATGTAATACTGCCACTGTGTCGATGTTAACGCAACCTACCTTTGCTCAGAAGTCGAGGAGTATTTTTGGACCCGAGAGTCGGTGTATCCTTCAAACCAGCAGAAAGAGCTGGCTGTAAATCCCCGACAAGCCAAAATAAAGAGAAAAGAAAAGGCTTCATGTTGCGCCTTAGCTGCTGAGCTGCACTACAATCCCTTTGCACCCTCAAAAGCAATCTGCTCGACTCGCTCCATCCTCTTGACTATAAAAGCCTCGTGGGCGTGACATGCTGTTCGCTAGACTGCCTTATATAAAACACAAGTCTTAGAAATATATTGATTGTTTCTTGTGTCAATTTAATATAATAATTTCTTCTTTATTCGTGGGGTTTGCGTCACCTATCATATTAAAAACCTCGTATAGATGACGTTATTTATTGCACTGGGCTGAGCCTGTAGCCCGAAAAAAAAAGTCGATTGGACTTCGGATAGCCTTATACTGCAAGATCAGACTGACTGTAATCCTTTTAACACCGACTGCTTCACTATTAAATCCTTTCGTAAATCGACCTTACTGGACACCGAAATTCTGGACACCCTTTAGGTCCATTGTTTTAAATGAACCTTCTTCCTCGTTACAAGATAAATACTGTCGAGGAAAAAAATCTATCAGCAAAAGTTCATTATTTATATCACGTTTGAATGAAGTTTCTACGAGAATTAAAGGTATGTGGCATTGTAAATGCTGTTCGGGTAGTTTACCTGCAAGCAGCTCCCCTGCTTTGAAGCACAGTCATCTACGCGGGTCTAATGGCGTTCTCACGAGATCAAGGTGTGAGATATGTTAACAACTTCTTTTTTATGGAGAAAGGAGAAAAATTGCCACAAACAGAACACCAAATGCGTTCCCAGGCCAGCCGAGAGATATAATATGGAACACCTCACCAAGGAGGCGCACAGGAGTCCTTGTCCCTTGTCAGATGCTCAAACCATCTCAACTGGCTCATTTTGATGTGATGGGGCAGCGGCTGTAGTCTGAGCCCCTCCCGGATGGCCGAAGTTCTTACCCGATTTAGGGAGAGGCCAGCCACCCTTTGGAGGAAGCCCATTTCCAGCGCTTTTATCCGCGATCTCGTTCTTTCGGTCACTACCCAAATATAAATAGTAAAGACATCAGGATAGATAGCAAAAAATAAAAGATATACAGTCTAGAGGAACATATACAAACTAAAGTAATATATACAAAACAAGAAAAAGGCACACAACCACTTTGCTTACAAGCAAAACACTTCAAAGGGACTTGGTGTGAGTATACAGTCCCTATGTGAGTGGCCTGAGTGATGAGGGTTACTCAGACCATGGCTGAAATTGGTGAGGTTGGTGGGCAGGGGTGGGTGTGGGGAGTGTTTGTTAACAGTCACAATGGCCCACCGGGAAAAGCTGTTAGTCAGTCTGGAGGTGTGGAATCTGAGTGACCTGAGGCGATGACCAGAGGGCAGCGGGTCACACAGGTGCTATGCAGGGTGCAAGGAGTACCCTGTGATGAGTCTGGTTTTTCTGAGACAGGTGGAAATGATAATAGCCTATAGGGGTCGCAGAGGGCAGCCAATAATTTTTTTGGATGGTGTTGACTACCCTCTGTGCAGGCTTCCTGTAAGCAGTAGTGGCCCCTGCGTACCAAACTCCCAGGCAGTAGGAGAACACACTCTCCACTACTCCTTATATTTTAATGTTAAATCAAATACTTGCTGGGACCAACAGAGGTAGTAGATAGTGCAGTGATAAGCAAGGTTTTATACCGAAACTGATTGGTTGATGTTCAGTTTTTAGAGGTACATTTTAAAAAGTTTTTTCTGCCTTTGCAAACTACACCTCTACCACCATCTCTGCAGAATTACCCCATACATTTTAATTAGGTGGTCCTTTTGGAGTCTCTGGGTGGGTTTACTCTCACTGGTTCCCCAGACTAAAAACCAGCAATTAACTTGGAAATGCAAAGGGGAAAGCAAAATATCCTTTTAGAGTTTTTTAAAGTGTAAAAATAAGAAACAATGTAGAGAAATATCAAGAAAAACAAAGGTTACATCTGGCATATCCTTTGAAACAGGAGAAAGGGCACAGCAGCATGAGGTTATTTTGGATTAGCCTGTTTATTCCAGTGAAAAACAGAGATTAATTTTTATATACAGTGAAACATGGAAGTACCCTAAATAGTTATTTTTGTATTTAACGTGGCCTAAAAGCTGTTTAAAGAATCATGTGTTTACGTGTGAGGCAGGTTTTCCAGCTGTGGTATTTCTATATTTGCTTTTCAAGATGACCATGTGTCTTTTTCCAACATAACAACTTGAAGCTGCAGGTTTTTTTCGTTCTAGCTTTGTGGCTTTTTTTCTGTACCGGAACACAAACAAGATGCTTTATTGCATACAAACACGTCCTTTTTTAAATTTACCAAACAATCTTATTTGTCTGAAATTGTAAATCTAACTTGTGGTTCCCTGAAGGGTGTCTCACAATAAAGCCCTATGTTCAAAATGTCACCAACTCACTCATAGTTTTATTATGTTCATATGCACAGAAAGAGGAGTTAGAGATTACACAGAGCATTGAGCTCAACAAGCAACAACATTTATGCCCCTTTCTGCAACGAAGGTCAGTTTTTAATCAGGTGGACAAACCACACAGAGATCACAACGAGGGCACTGGGAAAACCTTCCACATTTCAGTAATATTCACATTTCAGTTACACCCTGAACATTTTTCTCTTTTGTTTTACTGCTGCTTATTGTGTGCATCCATGACTATGTAAATATTTAGCTCAAGTCCTCTTAGCTCTGTAGAGGTTGTCCAAAAATGCTGGAGTCTGTGTGATATAAACTGATCATGCTTGCCGAATGTACCTTTTTCCTGTTGTTCATTGCAGTCTGGATAATCCACATAATTGTTGCTATAAGCCATTAAGGAACTGCCACACATTTCTTTAGTTGGTCCCATGTGTGCAACACATCAAAAGCGAACACATATACACCTTCCAAAGCAACAAACCTGTTCTTTATTGATATCTCTTATCTATATATCTTATATATCTCTTACATTTATAATATTTCTTTAATAATATTTCTTTAAGAGGAACCACACAGCCCATAGAGACCTGCATACACTCAAGGAGGAGTGTCCTGATTAAAATAAAAGAATGGTAAACCAATAAATGTTACTGAACTGGATTTACTGTCAATCCTCCTGTTTCTACTGGATAACCTCTGATGATTGCACCTCTACAGGTTCAGCACCTTAGATTTTAATTACTGATCATCACGCAGGTCACTTCAATATCCCTTAGACCGATACCCTGCTATACCATATAAATAAGTTACTCAAATCTAACTTAATCACACATATTTTTTCACTGTATTACATAAAAAATAAAGTAAAAAAAATACAGGTTGTAAGGTATGTTTGTGTCTCATAAATGATATATTTGCCGTCTTCTTTGCGTCACAGCACATGACACTGGAACGTTCCGCGTAGTTTTTCATACTTTTTAACAGACGTATGGTCATGACTACCTATGAGGTGGCTGAGGTCTAGTGGTTTGTATTTTATTTTTAAAAACAAGACCATAAAAACTGGCATGAATCCCTGTGTGACCGGGGAGTTTTGGTTTAAAGTATTTAAATGAAACATTAAGAAAATGGATGTACTCAGATTTTGAATGCACAATTTACTGCAAATGTGTGCTGAATTTGGCACTGAGAAAACATTTTGTGCTAAATGTGGCTCTGCTGTGTTCTGTTAGAAGTGTTCATGTTTGGAATTGGGTGGGGCAGATGTTATCAGTATGTAATCCAGGAGTGTACAACTCCAGGCCTCAAGGGCTGGTGTCCTGCAGATTTTAGATATCACCCTGGGTAAACACACCTGAATCAAATGATTAGTTCATTACCAGGCCTCTGAAGAACTTCAAGACATGTTGAGGAGGTAATTTGGCCATTTAAATCAGCTGTGTTGGATCAAGGACACATCTAAAACCTGTAGGACACCGACCCTTGAGGCCTGGAGTTGGACACCCCTGGAATTTTACAATAAGCCCCGTCCATTGGCCCGTCAATGCGGTAAAGTCATCTTCTTTTTTATTATCTGTTTCTCCTGCTCCTCTTCATCTTTCTCCTTCACCACTGCTTTCTCAACTCAAGATTCATCTGATGAACTGACATCACGGCTCTAACACAAGACAATGTGCATAGATATGCAAATTTTTCCAGATATTGCCGTAATTACTTGTTGTCAGCAGATTAGACATGTGATCCTCCCATCTACGGACAGCTGACAATCAGCCGGCTAAACCACAACAACAGCTGGTTATAAGCTAACATTATGCAAGCTAATGTTAGGCTCAAGTGTCCTAAAAGTCACATAAAAGTCACACTCTCCCTATACATAAAAGTTACCCTCTAACAAGCAGTTTGATTACATTCTCACATTGTATGAGAGAACATCACGGAACCGGTTCTAAGAGAGTGTGTTGGGGAACTCACTATGACGTTGACATCTCTCTTTCCCAAGCTGTGTTGCCTGTTTGTAAGAGGTCCATTATTTCCCCTGTGCTTGAAGACTCAGCTGTGAAGGGCATTACCACGAATGGCTGATTTTATCCCACATTAAGGATTCGGTTGACATTACTGTGGATCCACAACAGTATGAGTACACAAAGAGTTTTTTCTGATGCACTATCAGCTGTTATCAACCCTGCTCTAACTCATTTACTCATGGCCTTATTTGTCTGATTAGAAAGAACAAAACATACTGCACAGGAATCCAAGGTTGTAACTTAGGCTCACTGAGAGAGAGGAAGAATGTGAATGCTTAGTTTGGAGGGGGGCTGAAGCTATAAGAATGTGAGAAGCATTTAGACACTTTGAGATTTTGCCAGACACCCTCCCGGGCACGTCTCCTGTCTGGACGTCTGTAATGCTTAAAGTCTTTGTATGGAATTATAAGAATTGTATTGATAAAGTGATTGTTGATTGAGCATTAAACACCGTGTGTTGTTCTTCCTCCAGCCCAAAGATCAAAGAGTTGGGGTTTTAACAGTAGCATATCATAATTTCACAGACACTAGCCAATAAATGTTATTGTCGGGGTTGAGAAAATCGATGCAAAACTGGGTTCTAGACTTCTTGACAGGCAGGCCAGAGTCTGCAAACATGTATGGTTCTTTGTCCTCCACCATCATACTCAGCACTGGCTAAGTATCTGGACAGTCATATCAATTCAGTTCAATTCAACTTCATTTATACAGTGCCAAATCACAACAACAGTTGCCTCAATGCACTTTATATTGTAAGGTAGACCCTACAATAATAAATACAGAGAAAAAA